AATGAGTACAGTGCAAATAAAAATGTGGCACATGTTGAAATCTGTTGAAAGTGATCCACGTTTTGGAAGGCCTGAAAAAGTAGCAAAACTGCAATCAACAAAGATCAGTGATTGACAGTGCAAGAACAGTTCAGGGATTCCAAAAAATGACTGCGTCCGAGATATTGTGTGAGGTCCTAAAGTACCTACTTTGACAGGGAATGAGGCATTTTTGTCCTTTGTACAAAGTTTATTGTATCTTCTTCAACAAAGATCTCTATTTTTCATATTTACATACTTGGATACTTATTTGTCATATTACACGGCTGGATACTTTCCGGACAGACCTTGTATATGGGGGGACTCGAATGAACAGTAGAAGAAAATCAGATGCATCGCTAATACTCATATTTCAAAGCAAACAATGAAATGTACAAATCAGGTATAAAGGTTGGTATCCTCATGATTGGGGGAACCACAAGTTCATCATTTTCATACCACACTAATGCCAACCTATTGCACCAGGTAGTTGTTCAAGAAGGAGGCTCTGGTGGATGTAAAACATTTTTGCCTCATTGGTGCCTCAGGAGGTGGCATGGAAAATTGGAAAGTTATGAACAATTGATTTGTCTGACATGTGGGTTGATTTGTTGCCAACTAACTAGCAAAGAGCCCCTCTGGGCCTCAAACCTTTTATCATTTGCCCAGTTGATACACTATTACAAAAAAAACAGCATTTATCAACTTGTCAATTGAAAACTAAAGTGCAACTCCAGGCAGGTAAAGAGATAAATACACATAACAAACTTGTTTTACCTGCCAAAGCATTGTACTTCATTCCACCCTGTCTTGACATTTGTACAGCTCAGTCATCTAGCACAGTCATGTCTGATTGGCAGAAGGCCTGATTTGGTTTCTCCCCTAGCCTGTCCAATATGGAAGAAAAATATATTTGAAATATATTTGAAATATATTCTTCCCAAATATATTGCCATATATTTGAAATGCTACAATTTTGGCCACTCCTAGATTGTAAGCTCGAAAAGAGCAGGGCCCTCGAACCCCTCGTGTATTGTTTTGTTACTGTATTGTCTCATGTTCTGTCCCCCACTACAATGTACAGCACTCAGCAAACCTTTTGGCGCTATATAAATACTGTATAATAATAATAATATGCAATATATTTCAAAATATATTTCAATTAAAGAAGAAAAAAAAAATATATATATATATATAAAATATTTTTCATATATTTTGTAATAAAAATGAATTTCAACATGCAGTATATATATATATATATATATACACATTTCAAATATACTGTATGTCTTTAAAAACACAAATCTACATTTTTGGAATGCATTTACAAAATACATGTTATTATTATTATACAGTATTTATATAACGCTAAAAAGTTTGCTCAGCGCTGTACATTATAGTGGGGGACAGAACATGAGACAATACAGTAACAAAACAAAACACGAGGGGTTCGAGGGCCCTGCTCTTTGGAGCTTACAATCTAGGAGGGAGGGGATTGTGGTACAGGAGGAAGTGGCTGTGGGGGATGGAGTGGTAGGAGGAGTGGAGGAGATCGGCTGTTAGGTGAGGGCGGGGTAGGCTTCCCTGAAGAGATGGGTTTTCAAAGTGTGCCTAAAGGTGAGGAGGGTAGGTGACAGTCTGATGGATTGGGGTAGTGAGTTCCAGAGGATGGGGGAAGTCCTGGAGAAGTCCTGCAGTGGGGTATGGGAGGTGGAGACCAGGGAGCTAGAAAGTAGGAGGTCTTGTGAGGAGAAAAGATTACGGGTAGGGTAGTATTTGGGTATCAGTTCGGTGAGGTAGTTTGGGGCAGCATTATGAATGGCTTTGTATGTCTGTGTTAGTAGTTTGAATTTAATGCGTTGGGCAATCGGGAGCCAGTGGAGGGAATGACAGAGGGGGGTGACAGAAGCGGAGCGGTTGGTAAGGTGGATAAGTCTGGCTGCTGAGTTCAGGATAGACTGAAGCGGGGAGAGTCTGTGATGAGGTAGGCCGGTGAGGAGGGAGTTGCAGTAGTCCAGACGTGAAATAATATGGGAGTGAACTAGTTGTTTAGTAGTGTCTGGGGTTAGGAACGAACGTATTTTGGAGATGTTGCGGAGGTGCAGCCTGCATGAGTTTGCCAACGATTGGACATGGGGTTGGAAGGACAGGTTTGAGTCTAGAGTGACACCTAGGACTTTGGCTTGTGGGGTGGGATTGATGGTGGTGTTGTTGGTCGTGATGGAGAGGGTGGGAGCACGGGCTGGAAGGAAAATCAGGAGCTCAGTTTTGGAAAGGTTCTATTTGGGGAAATGGAGCGACATCCAGTCTGATATGTCATGTAAAAATATATGTTAAAATGACCTTTTTATATGATAAAAAATCTGAAGAATATATTTTTAAAAATATATTTTTAAAAATATAAATTATTTAAAAGTACTATAAAATATATTTTTAAAAATATAAGTATTTAAAAGTACTGCCTGGCAGTACAAGGGTTGCTGGTTCAATTCACAACTATGGCACCACCTGCCTGGAGTTTGCATTTTTACCCTGTGCCTGCATTGGCCCTAGTGTGTATGAATGAAATTTAGGGACGTTAGATTTTAACATGTAAAAAAGTTATTTTAACATATATTTTTACATATATTTGTAACTACATTCCAAAAATGCAGGTTTGTAATTTGAAAGACATACAGTATATTTGAAATGCATTTTTAAAAATATTTTTCATATATTTTGTAAAAAAAAAATGCATTTCAACATGCAGTGTGTGTGTGTATATATATATATATATATATATATATATATATATATATATATATATATAGAAATATATTGAATATGGCCAAAATTGTAGCAGTTCAAATATATGGCAATATATTTGGGAAGAATATTTTTAAAATATATATCAAATATATTTTTCTTCCATGTGGAGTGATTGGCAGTGAAAGAAGAACCAGCATACCGATGAGCTCATCTCGCGGTCACTCTAAACGTATCTCCTATCAGCATGTTTCTTGTCAGCACATGAACTGATTGGATTCTTGTACTGCTTCTCCCCCTTCTAATATGAGCTCTGCTCTGCTGTATATGGGCTGCAAGAGGCTGATAGCAAGTCAAATTCAGGTGCATTCACTGCTTGCATTGGAAAAATATGTTTAATTCCATAGTAATGAATACAGAGCAGCATTGTCTTGCATTTTTTTCCTGCCTCTGCACACTGGGATCTGCGAGGATCATCGGCATGCAACCTATACGGGTTGACACCAGACCCGCTCCAAGAAAAGGTAAGTTGTAAAGAAAGCCGACGATCCCCGCAGGATGGATCGGATCTGCGGATTGAGCATAATGGATCGGAGTCCGATCCATTCTGCGGGGATCGTAGGAGGGGTGTCACCAAGTGTTACCGCACCGGGTGACACCAACCCTAGGGACTCCTCTGCAGGGGAGTGCAGGTGTTCTGCTCCATTGTTCATTTTCAGTGAGGGAAGAAGCCATTGGCCCCACCACTATCAATTCCTGAGCATCCCTTTTAGTCAATTAGATTGTTCCTTCAAAAAAGGAACAGGAATGTTCAAGAGGTGGTGGTGTCAAGCTCAGCTTTTACAGAAAAAGTAAAGATTTCTTTGTAATTTAGCCTATGATATTATTCTGGGATCTATTGAATGCTTGACATGCAGTTTTCACTGAAGGGAACCTCTACTCAGGTAGCATAGTGGCTAAATGGTTAGCATTTCTGCCTGGCAGTACAAGGGTTGCTGGTTCAATTCACAACTATGGCACCACCTGCCTGGAGTTTGCATTTTTACCCTGTGCCTGCATTGGCCCTAGTGTGTATGAATGAAATTTAGGGACGTTAGATTGCACGCCCCTGCAGGGTTAGGGACTGATGTGAATGTACAATATATATGTAAAGTGCTGCGTAAATTGACAGCACTATATAAGTACTTGAAATAAATATTCATGTCCAGATTGAATTGTTCAGGTTTGCAATAGGTTAATGTTTATGAATGTCTGCATGCTGTTGAAGGTGGGTTTTATTGCCTATTGTGAATATCGACTGGCTATATAGATTCACAATTTCATATTGAATATCTATGTATGTGTTCAAAATATTAAGGCAATGGAATATTAATTCTCATTTCGGAATCATGGTTAATTAGTTCACACCATTATTTGTTTTATAGAACACAATGGGGTTGATTTACTAAAGGCAAATGAACTGTGCACTTTGCAAGTACAGTTGCAAAGTGCAATTGCACTCATTTTCCCCAGAGCAGAGTGAATGTGGTGAAGTTTCGCTTTGTAAAGAATACCCAGTCAGGTGCAAGAAAAATAAAAACAGCATTTCTGCTTTCACATGAATGGATGATGGAAATCAGCAGAGCTTCACCACATTCTTGGGAAAATGAGTATAATTGCACTTTGAAAGTGCACAGGCTATTTGCCTTTAGTAAATCAAGTCCAATATGTTCTAGTCACATGTTTTTTATGCTTATTAGGTTGGATTGCTTTTAGAATGCCTTATATACAAAACTTTGTTTCTACATAATTCAGTTTGCATTTCCTACAAATGAAACTGAAATATCATTTCTCACCTAGCAAAGACACGTGTGTTCTGTGGTTTCACATCCCATTAGGACGTAAAATATGGTTATGATGTCATGGTACATCTTAGAATGAGCCACTTTCTGAGAACTCCACAGAAAAAGGAGATTCTTTGAATTCTGGAGAAAAAAAATAACCAGAAAAAAATGAATGTTATCCTTCATATTCACATGTTATACATAGCTATATATAACATGTGAATGTGCATATACTGTATATATATATGTATATATATATATACATACACAGTGTGTGTCTATCTATATATATATATTTTTATATATACATACACACCATATTGCCAAAAGTATTGGGACACCCCTCCAAATCATTGCATTCAGGTGTTCCAGTAAGCACCATGGCCACAGGAGTTTAAAATCAAGCACCTAGGCATGCAGACTGCTTCTACATACATTTGTGAAAGAATGGGTCACTCTCAAGAGCTCAGTGAATTTAAGCGTGGTATTGTGATAGGTTGCCACCTGTGCAATAAGTTCATCCGTATAATGTCCTTGCTACTAAATATTCCACAGTCAGCTGTTAGTGGTATTATATAACAAAGTGGAAGCAAATGGGAACAATAGCAACTCAGTCACAAAGTGGTAGGCCACGTAAAATGACAGAGCGGGGTCAATAGCTAAAGACCTGCAAACATCGTGTGGCCTTCAGATTAGCACAACAACAGTGCCTAGAAAACTTCATGGAATGGGTTTCCATGGCTGAGCAGCTGCATCCAAGCCTTACATCACCAAGTGCAATGCAAAGCGTCGGATGCAGTGGTGTAAAGCTCATCGCCACTGGACTCTAGAGCAGTTAACTTGAGACATGTTCTCTGAAGTGATGAATCACACTTCTCTGTCTGGCAATCTGATGAATGTATGTCTGGGTTTGGTGATTGCCAGGAGAACAGAACTTGCCTGACTGCATTGTGCCAAGTGTAAAGTTTGGTGGAGGGGGATTATGGTGTGGGTTTGTTTTTCAGGGGTTGGGCTTGGCCCCTTCATTCCAGTGAAGGGAACTCTTAAGTCATCAGCATTCCAAGACATTTTGGACAATTTCATGCTCCCAACTTTGTGGGAACAGTTTGGGGATGGCACATTCCTGTTCCAACATGACTTTGCATCAGTGCACAAAGCAAGGTCCATGAAGACTGAGATAAGCAAGTCTGGGGTGGAGGAACATGACTAGCCTGCATAGAGTCCTGACCTCAACCCAATAGAACGCCTTTGGGATGAATTAGAGTGGAGACTGAAAGCCAGGCCTTCTCATCCGACATCCGACATCCGACATCAGTGCCTGACCTCACAAATGCGCTTCTGGAAGAATGATCAAACATTCCCATAGACACACTCCTAAACCTTGTGGGAAGCCATCCCAGAAGAGTTGAAGCTGTTTATAGATACAAAGGGTGGGCCAAATCAATATTGAACCCTGCGGACTAAGACTGGGATGACATTAAAGTTCATCTGCGTGTAAAGGCAGGCTTCCCAATACTTTTGGCAATATTATATATATATATATATATATATATATATATATATATAATTTTTTTTTTCTCAAACTTGACTGCAAAAGTGGAAATACACTTTCATGTTGACAGCCTACAGCAGGTAGTGCTATTACTGGCAGGAACTCCAGGTAAGGAACTTTGTAACAGATTCACAATAAAAAACTTGCTCGAGAAAGCTGTATTTAGTAAGGCATGATGCCATCCATACTGAAAAAAATTAATTGTGGGTTTCCATACACTTTAATGCTCTTTTAAAAGGCATGTGGTAGATGCTGAACCTTCTGTTTTCTTCAAGGCATTTATCCTGCAGCATTTAAGGACAGCATGTGGGTTTGATGAACTTTGTGAAGACAGCTAGCTGTTGACAACTCGCAATAGCGTGAGAATGCCAAAGTTGCCCTTCCACTTTTCTAGCACCTAACAGGCTAGTCCTTTTCCTTTTCTAAATATAAGGCTTTGCTCTATGTTTGTGACGTTTATAATTACAACGTAAAATGAAATAAAGAATTTGTTGCTTACATCCTAAGCAATGGTTGTCAAAGTAGAGACAGGTTTGACAGACAGCTTTGTAACAATACCAGAAAACAAATAAAGCATTTCTGCTATAAAACATCTATGCAATTTCTTTCTTTATGAATGTAAATCTACAAAGATTGAAATGAGTTCATTTAATCAATGAATGCCCAACAAGGGTTATATTCCAGACTTTATAATTATGTTCATAATTATCTGCCCACAAACACAGTAATTCAACAGTAATATATCAATTCACAGTTTAGAATTTTAAAACTTTATTAATCATATTTCTGATTCTAACTTTCTTTTCCTGTGTTATGTAGCCACAAACAAATATGACAAATATGAAATTACTAAAGAAATTAGTGCAAAATGTGCACTTGCACAATAATGTATTTATTGTCAAACACTCGATTCGATTCAGAATGTTTGTTTATTTAATTTTTCTAACTTTGATTATTTAAAGATGGTTAATAAAAAAAGAATGTCTTCTTTAGTAAATCTGCACATGAACACATGAGCATCATAATAATTTTATATATTTATTTAGTTTTGGTACTATCATCACTCAAATGAAGTAGAGGCAACTGTCATTAAATAGTTGCTACTATCATGGAGTCCTAAGAATTCTTATACTTTAAGGGCTCTTTAGATCTGACATCCCAAACACAGATTTGTGTCATAAGTAGTACAGTATCGCTGACATGCCAAATATGGCAACACAGCTTAAAACAGCTTGCTTAGCAAAGCAATATGAAAGCTGGACAGCATATCATTATGCTTGAATATTAGTAGATATGATGTAACAGAGCGATTCTTATTAGCTGAAAGCATGAGGAAGAGGTTCCAAAGTCTTTTGCTGTCCATAGAATTACAAATTACAAAATGTATTGTTGTGGTTTAGTGTTTTTCTTTATTCTTCATTTTGTTTTGGGTTTCTTGCTCTTTTTCCTACCTCGTATGCTGAAAACTGCACAAATGAAACATGGGTGTGCTGGAGAGGTTTAGATGTAGGATATTAATATACTCAGTAAAAATATAAACCACTGCAAGGCTGTAATTTATCATTCTCTTTTAAAGTCTAAACAGCAAAAGGCACATATATATTATATTTGCTCTGTTTTCCTCCAAACAGTATGTAAAAAAATCGTAAAACTATACTATACTAAGCAGTGAGTTTCACAAGTTATAGTATACCAGGGAATCCACATTTGGTGCTGTTCACCTGTGACACAGGTTCTGGAACACCTCCAGGTGTAGGAGGTCCAAGCTTTGACAGCTGAGTCAGTCTGTCTTCCAGTTGTCTACTCCTGGAATCTGAAAGTTGGACAAGGCTGGAATGTGAAGTTCTACCCAGAACAGACTCCTTTCTACTTGCCATGGCAGGAAGTCTGGTTCCTCCCTGATGGTTGATGTATGCCACTGCTGTTACCTTGTGCAACTGGATCCTGATTGGAAAACTATCCATTCAGGAATATGTCCTGTTTTGTAAGGACAACCATATCACCAAAAGGTCCAGATTGTTGATTAAGAGGCAGGACAGGATAGTGAGTTATCCAGGTCTGGAGTGAAACTGGGCAAACAGAACTGCCTCAAAAGAGGCTACCAACAGTGTCAGGTCTTTCATGCAAAAACAAAGAGTTGGTTGACTTCTGGACTGAAGAGTTCAAGTCTTGGAATAGAGAGTTTAAAGTTTTTTTTTTGTGGAAGAAAAACTCTGGCTTAAGCTGTCTAGGATCAAAACCCAGATGCTACAAGTGATTGAATTGTCTGTGCCACATGGTACCGACCGTACTCAACATGATATCATCTAGATAACCCACTATAGGGATGCCTAAGGCACATAAGAAGGCAGAAGCAGAGGGACTAAAACCTTGGTGAATACATGGGTGTGGAGAAATGACTAAATGGCAGGACCACAAACTGGAAATGCCAGGGAAAAGAATTGTTGATTTGCTAATGTATGTGTCCTTAATGTCTACAAAGGAAAAATGGCTAGTAAAATGTTAAACTTTTCTCAGTAAAGAAAAGATATTCCTCCTCCTAGAACAATAGTGTAAAAACTAAGACATGCTGAGTGGGAGATGTTATATCAAGTTTGTCACCATTTTTTAGCTGGCCTTTGTCCAAATCCTCCTGTAAACAGCAGTATAACCCAATTGTGTGTGTCCTACAATGAAGAAGAAAAAAACCTAGTTATTCAGTTCATAAATGTGAGATGTATTTTGATCTCAGTTCAAAAGCTTAATATTTTACAACTACGGAGCAGAATATAACGATAACACATTACAGCGGTAATAATGTTTGCAACCTTGCTTAATAGCATTAGAATTGTCTCGAAAGGATCACACCTTAAGTAGCGCGGAGAATTAATCCATTTAGAGTTAGGCATATTAGAATGACAGACGCACGTGTTCATTCTCATTCCATTCGTATAGTTTGAGTTAAATTATGGTAATTCTTCAACTAAAGCAGAATAAAAGAACACAAACATTGCCAATAGCACCAAAGCCCCATATTAACCCTTACATTAACCACAATTAAGGTCAGAAAAAAAATGAATGGGTCGTTCTACCAATGGTACTGGCACAACTGACAAAAGACAAAGTTAACTACCAATTAGAAAGAAGCAAAATCTGTGAAACAGGCTACGTCAGAAAATGTGGAAATTCAATCACAGTCATAAAATGGGCATGGTTGGGACTGGCAGCAAACCAGCAATTAGGAAATGCTCATTGTAAAGGGCAAACGTATGAATCACAGAATCCAGTAGACAGACCATGGTAAAAAAAAATCCCACAATATACTGTAGCATGAATCACAAATCAGTATGTCAAAGCACCAAAAAATATTTTTTTCTCAATCACAGATAGAATTTCTATCAGGCATCTGATGACATCTAAGGCAGACTTGAATACTTCCAGTGCAATGTCAATAAAAGCCATTAAATGACACTTTAAGGTGAACCTGGCTGATACCACAGAAACCGATTGCAGACTGCACTGCTACTTAAGTCACAATATTGTTACCAGAAAGAGGAAAAAGTGGTAAGGGTGTATGGATTACTAAAAGTGTGAGACGGCAGTAATGGGCATTTCAGGGCTTAGTGATGCATGGAAATTAAAAATGCTGCTGATCATAAAATAAATAATCATGAAATAAATAATCATAATGTGCAAATCACAATCTAGTAAATTCAGGTAAATTCGGATGAAAAGTTCTATAATAAATTGCCCCGTGACCCCCTGGAGGACTACAAATTGGAAATTAAATCTTGGTTGGACAAAGCTATGAGCAATTAGGTTATTAATAAAGGGGAATGGGAATTTCTGTTTAAAGATTTGTTTAAAACTCCCTATTTCTACTATTTGCCCTTGGTCCACAAGGATCCCACCCATCCTTCTGGTAGGCCTATCATCGCCTATCATCGCCTCCATGGAACGTTTGACCAACGAGCTGTCCTAGTATGTGGACTGCTTTCTACAATACCTCCCTACATACTGTATATTAGGGAATCCTTGCAATTACTAGGTACTTTGGAGAGTTACTCCTGAGAAAATACTTATCTTTGGATGTCCCTAGTTGTAAATTCCCTTTACACTTCTATCCCCCACAAAGTGGGTCTTGCTGCTTTTGGCCATTACTTGGGCCAAATAATCCAATTTACATTACCTCCAATCACAATTCATTCTGGACAGTACAAAGTGTTGTCTTTAACAT